TTTGAAGAATTTAAAAGCAGAGAAGACCTATGGAAAACTACGAAGAACCAACATTGGATGGAACCAACAGAAGAGCCGGAAGCTGGGCCAGCTGGCAAAAGCTGGGAATCATGAGAATGGGACTGTGCATGGGTACAAGTTCCAGTGATACTCTGAACAAGTGGGACTATATAGTGGCTTCTTCCTTTTGTGATTGTGGTGACATGCAGACAATAACACAATTGTATACCTGTCCTTTGTGTCCTAATCAGTACATATTTGAAGACCTCATGACACTATGACAGAATGCAATTAAGGTTGCTAGTTTCTGGGCAAGATCTATTTAACTTGTATATATGCAACCACATAGACCTATCATAAGACAACATGGTACAACGGTGTGCTAACTCTGAATCATCATCGGACGAGTGGATATTAAACAAGGACCATCTGGACTTGCAAAACCAGGTTTCAGGAAGAGAGATTTTACTCTTCCGAAGATTCAAAATAATAGTTCGATTATTATTTTATACAAAATAATATTATATAATTAATGATTACAGTTAAAAAAAATAAACTTAAAAGCAAAGTTTCCAGGTTACAGACTCGAGCATTTCAGATTCTATCAGAAATTTTCCAGTGGTGAGGAATACACTCTAGCTTATGATTATTATACACATAGAAAAAGCACATCACTAAATCACAGCTACCCATTTTTGTTTTTGTTTTTAGCTTTTATATTGGTGCTTAAAATCATTTTTTCTGATAGAAACAGATCACAATTACAGAAAAATTCTTGCAACTGTATGTAATTTGCTTGTAGTCCATGTTTGTACCTGGTTGCAATATTAGCAATACTAATAAATATTAATGAAAATTAATAGTGTAAAACAACATATATATATATATATATATATATTACTTGCAATTTTGATAACTGTGTAGTCTGGCACTTAGTTCATTACCTACATATCTGAAAGTTCATCCATGTGTTTATGTTCAATAATTTTCCATATTCATGCATATTAGAAAAGAAAAAGTAAGTGTCTCAATTTGACTAGAATTAAAACAATTCAGGAAAGATTCAAGGACTCTGTGAGTTTGGTCCTGTTTTAGGCATGAAGGCCAGCTGGTGACATTGGAACTGACACACACATACTCTCTCTCTCTCAGCCCAATCCACCTCACAGGGTTGTCATTGTGGGGAAAACAAGAGGAGAAAGGTGTGTTGGGTATGTTTTCTGTCTTGAGTTTTTTGTCAAAATAATGAAGATGGGATATAGGTTAAAAAAGACTAAACACTAAATAAAATAAACAGCAGGTAGTATATGGAAGATTAAGAAGAGAGTGATTCATAACTTCATTTATTGATTTCAATCACTCAGACAATTATTTGATTGCAGGCTTCTGATTGTATTTTAAAGTTTGTATTCCTAGGCCTTTGTGGAATGGCTATTCTTTATAGACATAACCAGTAAACATAACCAAAAAACACACTGCAAGCTGCTAAAACATCATAGAAAGTTGACTTGAGTTTTACCGGCATTAAAAACAGAAAAGGACACTGTTGATGATTTAACTTCACTGTAATGTTTGTTTTTTTCTGTCAAGTATACAACCTTTTGGTTAAGAAAAGAGCCAGCTTTTTTTTGGCTAACGTGAGAGATTAAAAATCAGAGTGTGTGTATTGTTTAATTTCCCCCCCTCTTTTCTGACCTCTAGAACACTTTAAGTAAATTTTGTGGTAAAGCAAAGACCACGAGCACAGAGGGCATCTGAGACAGTCATGGTGTCTGAATATGCTTTTTGTGGTATTGGCAACATTGCTTTGATTAAAGATTGGCTCATGGCTGGAGTTTGTACACTTTTATTTTCCTTTCCCAAAAAAACTGCAACTGAATTAAATAACACAGAGGCAACTGATCTTACTTATACAGTATGTGTTTAAAAGATTTTATACTATAAGTCCAGTTTCATTTTGAAGTGTAATTATATATCTTCATCTCTTCATGACCCATGCACAATTCAGTAGACGAAATATTTTAGGCTTCTAAATTTTCATGGGAAAGGAAAGGTTAAAAAAATTATACTCTGTTTAGAGCCTGTTCCACAATCTCTTATAAGATATATGAAAAGATTGAGACAGCCAGAATCTCCTGCAGGGGAATGTGAGAAGTAAAGCAAGTGGCAATACTGGCTTTTGTTCAACAACTGTTAATACACTTTGTGACTCCTTAAAAATCCAGTTTGGAAAGTCAGCATTTCAGCAGCTTTTGGAGATTTAGCAATGGCTTCTCCCCAGACCACATAAAGCCTCTTCACAGATCACAGAATGTTCCCCAGATCACAGCTCATGAAAACAAGAATACCAGTACAGGTAGTCCTCCAGTTACAATTGTATGGAGCCCGCCCAGTTGTGATGGTCATAAAGTGGGTCATCATGTGACCAACCTGAATTTATGACCCTTTCGAGGTGATCGTTAAGCAAACTCTATTTGCTATGGAATGTTTTTGCCAAAAACTGGAATTAAACACTGTTTTTTGGCAAAAACATTGCAAATTGTGGTTATGTGATGGTGGAATACAGCAAATGGCAGTAAATGTGGATTGGCTGTCGAACAGCCAAAATCCAGGCATGTGACCATGGAGGGGTGGGGCTGGACACCAGGACTTTGGAATCAGGTGGTAAGTATCTTTTGGGTGGTTCGTCATAACTCTGAACAGGTGCTAAGTGAGTGGTTGTAAGTCGAGGACTGCCTGTTTCTCAGGTGGGATACGACGTTACTTAGGAGACAAACTCAAGATATATCAAGACTGAGAAATTGTGAGGGTGCCCATATCCAATTAATGTACCTGCCTTATTGTATACAAAAAAGGAGATTTTGTTTTATATAATATAAGAGATGTTGAATAGGTCTTCAAGCCTTTTTCTTCTCTGAATTCCCACTGTTGGATGTGGAAAAAGTGTTTTGGCATTATGGCACACAAATAGAGAATATGCAGTCCCTAAGTTCAGTGCATTCATTTTTCTATTAAAAAGAGGATAATTTATAACCCTCCTTACATATGAACTGAGAAACCAAGTCCAGTTCAAGCTTCCAAAACCTTGTTAAAGTCAAAGGGAACTCCAACACTTGGCAAAACCCCATGAACTGTGTCTGTCCAAGACTTTTTGTATAACATTCTGCATGTTGTTCATTAAAACTACTGGGAAGCTTTTACTCAAAGAAATGGGCTTTTTACTCAGACAAAGGGACAGCAAGGCAAGCAAAACCTACGTAAGGCTCCAATCACAACTGTAGAAGCTGCATGCAAGCATTACACCAGAAAATGTCCTCTGGTTTATGTTGGACTGATTCAGTGGTTCAATTTTAAGATGACATTGAAAAGGGCGGGGAATAATATTCTTATTTTTATTTCTGAAATCAATGTTTCAAAAAAAAATGATTGCAAGAGTCTTAAAAGGGATTTGGAACAAAATCTTCAAGTTACATTTTCAAGTAATTTCATTGCCTGAAATAGTAATGATATTAATAAGTACCTAATGTTGGTTAATTTCTTCCAGTGACTTTGCACACTATTGGCAAAGAAAATGGAAAGATGGAAAGGTTTGCTTTTAATGAGTAAGTGCACTATAATTTAAAAATAGTAAAAATGTAAAGACATGGGAGGAAACTGAAATATCATGAAGGAGGAAGAGAATTCCGATGTATTGAAATAATTTCATGCAATGTAAGTAAAGGACATGATCGAACTGAATAAATGAACCAGTATTTACAAAGATAAGTACATTTAGCAGTTTCCTCAAACTGAACTCTTCCAGAAATGTCGAATTATGACTTTCGTCATCCCCAATCACCATGACAACTGGCCATGCAGCTGTTTGTGAGGGAGTATATCATAATTGCCCCCGGGGAAGGCTACTATAACATCTTCAGCTATTTATTCATTCATACAACCATTTTATTTTACCCTGTATCTGAATGAACTGTTAATTTCTAAGAAAAGACTCCAGATGTAAGGATACCTCAGCCATAATGAGAAGAACAACAAAAGGTTCAGAACTTTTCAGAGGCCATTGCAACTTCAGTCACTAAGCGAATGGCTGTAAGTCGAGGACTATATGTATTAAATTTGGGTGAGTTTTACTCCGCAGCAACCCAAGAGTACCATTGTTACTCTTATTTGCACCTTCCTTTCCTCCACCTTCAGAGCCTGGGGCTGCACATTTTGCAGGGTTTTTGCCACTCAATCCTGAGCTGCCCCTAATTTGAGATTTCTATCAGGCCATTATACTTCCCCCTCCCCGCCCCTTGTTGGATGGGTGGCACTTGTGACATCTGAAAGGAAATTATTTTAAAGCAGGCTGTTATAATAGGGCAAGGTGGCTCTTTAAGAATTCAATTAACTTTCAGGCTCTTTTGCGATCAATCATCCCAGAGCACGTCCTGCCACTCTTCATTCCAGGCAGAGTGTCCGAGACTGCCCAGATGTTTCAGCTTCCGGTTCTCCTCCATGGAAAATTTCCGCCTGGAGGCTGCTGCGCATAGACATTCTGTTCTCCTGACTCTCCTTAATCTAGAGTCCTGTCAGAGCTGTCACATGAAGAGTGAATCATGGGCCTTACCGAGAGCCCTTGAGCCTGGAGAGGAGCTCAGGGCAGGCAGCTGCACAAAACCCACACCCAAATGCACGTTCTCCTCACAGTGAGTTTTACAGCTCAACCTTTGGATAATCCCAGAAGCTGACTGACAGGCCCTGTTTGTTCAATAACAGAAATTTGCCAAAAACAAATTGGCTGTCTTTCAAACCGACACCCTGGTCTGGGCTCCTTACACTCACCTTCTTTCCCCCGTTTCCCCCACCTCCACCCTTCCCCGCATTCCATTTTCTTCACTCTAAACAAACCGGAATTATAAAAGAATGTGTCTGCCTCGCTGGCCTTCATGGAGTGGCGCTCTGTCCCTCCTCCCTGCTTTTCTTCTTCTATGTTTCCCAGGATAACATATAATCCTTTGCACCTGCAAATGCTCCACAGACTGCCGACTGCCAAGAATCCACCACGTGTCCTTGCTTCCATGACCAAAGTTCCTGTGTTTAAAGAGAGAGGAGGTGGGTGGACAAAACGTTAGTCTCTGCCTGGCTTGCAACTTGCTGCTTTCCTGTCAGGGAGAGAGTGCTAGAGTTTTAAATGGCTATTTTTGTGGCATCTTCAGTTATAGATTGAGTAGTCCCTTCTACCCACCATTCACACCCCACTCACATCCTGCCAAAAGGTGGTAAAAGTAGTTGATCTGAGGAGTGATAAACAGCACTGAAGCTTGTTTGCAGAGAGTTAGATACATATTTGTTTCAGCCTGGATAAAAATGCAATTTTGCAGATACCGCCCGGATCTTTCTTCCTCTTGGGAAGATAAAACATGAACAAAAAAACAAAAAAACAAAAAACTACTGGAAAAAATACCAGCAGTAACTTCCAAGCTGAATATTCATGCCAAACAATATCTTTTCCAAACAACTGCTCCACATTATACCCAACACTTTGGCCTATATTAATAGTATTAAGATATACTAAGTTGAGCAGTCCCACAGCTAAGCAATCATCACTATTAACAGTAATCTTAATGAGGCAGAAAAGTGGCCAGAAAATAGTAACTTGCTTAGACAACCCGCTAATTCTGTGTTTCTCAACCTTGGCAACTTTAAGATATGTGGACTTCAACTTCCACAATTCCCCAGCCTAGAGAATTTGGGAAGTTGAAACTCCACACATGTCTTAAAGTCGCCAAGGTTGAGAAACATTGCTCTAACTATATGGCCAAACTGTTTAGAATGATATAGAGTTTTATATATCTAACAGCTGAGCTGTGGATCTGTATTCCCACCTGACCCACATTTTGGGCAGAAACATCTAAATTGAAAGCCAATTTACAGTTTCAAAAATAATAGCTGATTACGAGCACATTCTCTTCCAGTCTTCCCAGAAAACTGATTGACAAGCAGTTGTATCAATTCCTTAAACAGCAGCCCCAATTCCAGGGCATTTTAAAAAAAAATTCTGAAGAATGCTGGAGAATGACATTTCAACAGCCGAGTCTTGTATCAGTAGATAGAGCATATCCAAAGCAAGGCTCATCTCACAACCACAAAAACCACAACTATTTCTGGAGAAAGACTGAGATTCAAAAGTTCAATCTTAGACCAGCCTTCTTTGTGATGCTTTCCAGATGTTTTGGAGTACCTTAACTGCTTTCACCAGCATGGCCAGCTGTAAGGAATGGTGGTAGTTTCATCAGAAAACATCTGAGGGCACCAGATTATAAAGAGGTATTACAGATAGTATTGTCTCTAACCTAGGTACATGCTAACTTCTATAAAAGCTGAACTGAGAGACAAGAACCAAGAAAACTGGACAACACCCTTCCATAGAACTCAAAGCAATTTAGATGACCATGGCCAAAGGAAGAATGCAAACTGGCCAACAGGAAATAAGATAATCCCCTCACAAAGAGGCCAATTTAATTATGGTGTTTCCACAAGGCAGGGAAAGCCCTACTCTCTGAATCATTTAAAAATAGACTACAGAATGCAGCACTTGAGAGCATACCACAGGGGATAATTCACCACTGGCACTTAACATAAATGAGCTAACATGTTTCTTTCCATTTCCTTATTTTACATGGAGAGCCAGCTGAAAATGTGAAAGGAAAATGGAAAAAAACCTATCTGCTAAAGGGGAGGAGAAATTTTTATAATAATTATGAAGTCTACAAAGTCCACAATGTTGGTGGAATTTTTAACCTAGAGAATAAGGATGAATACTGTATATATATTGATGAGTGTATTCTGCTGAAGGACTATCTGTCAGAACTTTAAGCCAAAAATGGGTTAAAAGAATGAGTTCTCTCATTCTGTTCTCCTCTCTCTCTCCCTCCCTCACAGACAAACTTCCTCTACCAATCCTGTTCTTCCACACATACGTCTCTCTTTTTCCATTCTCTTCCCTTCCACAAATTTATCAGGGTAGGATTGAGAGCTTCCACCTAAGATGTGAGCCAATCAATGGCAGAAACCTACTCTCCCACTACATATATATGCTTGCTATTCTTCTCTCCTGTCAATTCCCTTCCTTTCCCCTCTTCTTTCTCCTTTCCATCTTCCTTTTCATACTGGTCTCTCTCGCGTATAATTAGGCAGAATGTCATATGTAAATTTTGCATGGTCATTTATTCATTCATGCGACATATAATATTGGGAGCTTGGGAAGATATATGTGGACAGAAAGGAATCCCATAAGACGACTCTACGGGATCTTTTGAATGTGATTTTAAAATCCCTTGAAGTCTGTTGCTTAAGTTGGTTATGATTGTAAGTGAGATGAAAGATCTCTAAATTAGAATGTAGATCATAGGTGCTAAACTCGTAAAGTCACATTGCCGCCATGTGTCATTTTGCGAGGTTTTTCCCATTCGCGGAGCTGAGGTAGGCGTGGCCTGCACATTATGCATCCGGGCCACCAGTTTTACACCCCTGATGCAGAAGATAGATAGATGGACAGATGGATGGACGGAAGACAGACAGACAGACAGACACATGATAGATAGACAGACAGACTGATCTGGCACTAGGAAAAACAAGGATTACTCTAACTATGATATAGTTTTTAGATATTCTGTCTCAAGATGCTATTTTGTTGTGAAATATACAGCTAATTCTTTATTATGTGTGCTGCAATTACTTTTTCCAAAGAATCTCATAAGATGAATGCTTATGAGGCATCAGATCAGATAACATTTTCTGCCTCTCTGAAAAAAAAAATTATATAAATGCCTGGCAGGGGAAGATTGATCAAATCTGATGTCCTTCAGAATTGTTTACAGCTATCACCAGCCAGCCATAGTTTAAAGGCTAAGTTAAAATTCCTTTCTAAATATATTTTTTTAATGAAAATTTTTTAAAAAGTATCTGTACCTCTCTGATATGCCTCTATTCATGGATAGATACGAGAACCACTGTAGTGGTTATTGTCATGGACTGGCATCAAAGAGAACCAGGTTCAAGTCCATCCTCAACTACAGAAGCTTACTGGATTCCTTTGGAATCCCCCCCCCCCCTCTCTCTCAGATCACTCTACCTCATAGGTCAGCTCTTGCTGGGATAAATACAAGAGACCTCATACAAGAGAGCAAGTTAAATTTAGTTAAATTAAGATCAAAAAAATGAAATGATGACGGATGTCGTTAAATGATTGATAATGATAATAATGTAATATTTGTATTGACATGACAAAAGAGAAATTGGATATAAATTGTAAATAGTGATTAAGAAGGTCTAGAAACTTTGTTATTAAACATAATTAATTTTTTATTTAGAAAGTGTCATAAAGATGTAATGTTGCTGGATGATATTGAGAATAGATAAAAACAATCATAGTCATATGAAGATTGAGGTATGGTGATAGTAATCTATATAAATATATTTGATTTAAAACATATAACTTGATATGAATTGTAAGTGATGACTGTAGAAGGGATGCACTAAAGCTCTTTGTAACCAATTTACACACTCTTTATAATTTGTAATGGAAGATATTTTTGTGGTGTTTGTTGTGTTTTGTCTGTTTGTGTTTATTCAAAAATAAAAAATTATTTAAGAAAAGAGACCTCTCCATGGAAGGCACCTTGAGCTCTTGGAGGGAAGGATGGAGATACATCTATCAAAGAAACAAAATAAACAACTACATATCGAAATATTTCTTCTGTGGAATGAAAAAAATTAAACAGTGAAAAGCAAGTTGCTGTATAGGAATATTTTTAAACTGTTTATGAAGACTAAATAGGTAGGGCCTCTCGATTGCAGACATCAATTTCTAAGATTTCCTTTATGGAACCAAAACAGAACAAACAAAACCCACACAAGCACAACATAGTTGGGTTGGTCTACTACTTGAGACAGTGGTGGGATTCAATTTTTTTTACTACTGGTTCTGCGGGCGTGGCTTGGAGGCATGGTGTCGCTTTGTGGGTGTGGCTTTGTGGGCGTGGCAAGGGATGGATACCGTAAAATCTCCATTCCCTCCCCACTCCAGGGGAAGATTACTGCAAAATCTCCACTTCCTCCCAATTAGCTGGGACTCGGAAGGCAGAGAGTAGATGGGGTTAGAGGTGGCATTTACCGGTTCTCCAAACTACTCAAAATTTCCACTACCGGTTCTCCAGAACTGGTCAGAACCTGCTGAATACCACCTCTGATTTGGGACCACATTTCAGTAAGATATTTACAGAGTACCCCAGATGATTTCCCCACACAACAATATCAAAGGACATACATTTACCATTGACAAGTGCAGTGAAGATTTTTCAACTAATCGTTTCTAAACATATTATCTTTGGACTCGCTCTTAAGAAGTCCCCATATATAATAAATACATATACTGCATTGGTTAAGGACAGGCAAGAAACCAGAAAAGATCAGGAGAGAGAAGTTTTTTTTTTAAAAAAAAGGATTTGTGCATACACACATGGCTAGTACAAATTGGCAGTCTCTTCATTTTGTTCTCAGATCTGATTTTAGAGGCAGAAAATCCACAAACTAGTGTGCTATATTGCAATAATACACTATGAAGCATAACAAACCACTTGCTGCCTTGTTGTGGGATCTCAAACACTGATGCTCAAAAACTTGTCTCCTTGACCCAGAAGTTAAGATACTACTTATTGATAATATATCATTCTAATCAATATCAAATACTAGCGTGTTAAAGTGTCTTTCTGATAGAGATTAGCAGAATTAGTGGAATGCCTACAACAGAAATAGTTATATTGGGTTGGGGATGTTAAAAATATGTCTCATGGCTCATTGGGACCAAATAATGTGATTGGACTGTGATTGGATAACACAAGATAGTTCCAATCTTTTAAATTTACATTAATAAATGTAGTACAGATAGCCCTCGATTTACAACTATTTATTTAGTGACCATTGAAAGTTACAACCGCACTGAAGAAAAGTGCCTTATGAACTTTTTTCATACTTATGACCATTGTCATGAACATGTGATCAAAATTCGGACACTCGACAACTGACATGCA